GGGGGGAGCCGTCGGGAGAGAACATTTTGGGACCACAGTTGGTTATTTTATTTTATTTTATTTTAAAGACAAGACACGGGACGAGTTCCGAACCTGAAGGGTTTTTGGTGGTGGTGGGGAGTGCATGAGGGCTCAACCGACTGGGAACAAGCGAGGGAGCTGTTTCCATGTGTATTTGAGATTGAACCTGTGTAGTCCGTCTGAAGGACGCTTTCGAAAGCCTCTGGGCCTCCGGAGGGGAAAAAAAAAAAGCAGTCTTCACCCGACATTTCTCCCCCCCCCCCAAGCTTTCGGCAGCCGAAGGCGGTGTGTGGGTCGGTTTGGGGGATTGCTGAGGTGTTCGTGGCAGGGCAAGGAAGTTGGGAAGTTTCTAGGTGAAAGGGTGCACGACGAGACGACGTGTGAAGGGGCTGCTTGTTGCAAATGGCAAAGCCTTCTTTGAAAGCAAAACTGAACGTGCAGAGGAAGCGTTGTGTTGTGTATGTTATTCCACCACCCCCCCAGCTTCCAACCCTTCCCCCAGCCTCAAAATTTTAAAGATTCGGGGCGATTCATTAAATCTGCAAAAAACAGTTTGTGAGGTATGAATCAGGTAATGGATCTTGCGATGCGGGAGGCTCAATCTACTAAAGGAGCAGTGTTAAGTTCCAACCTCGAGGGGCCAAAGAGATAGTTTATCCTCTCTTCTGTCACCATAAACTTGAATCAGTCGTTAGCCTCTTTGTATCGTTTGTTTTGGTCTGGCTGTGCTTGCCCTGCATGAATAAACGTTTCTGGTAAAGGTAGTGTAAGGTTATCTCAGTATAGTTTCCCATGCTGCAGCATGTTAAAACATAGATCATTCAGGAGGTTTTTTTTTTAAAATATAGTGCTTTATGTCATTGTAATCCTGTCTGAAGGAGGGGAGTGAAAATAGGAAGGAATTATTTCCAAAAATGTTGGGATATCTCTTGCAGAATAAATCTGAAGTTTACCGTACTTTGTGTTTAAAAACAAGGCAGATATAATCCATTCTTATGTATGTTTTCAGTAAGAGTTACTCTTAATTAAATGTATGTAGGATTGCAGCCATAAGAGAAGTGTATGAAAACAGGATGGCAGATACCAATCAGACATAATGGCGATTTAATTTAACTTTTCCTAAAATGCAATTACTGTATAATTTTTGCATAGTTTGAAAGCTGATATTTACATTTTGTAAATTCTAACAAAGTAGGAATATACAAGTTTTCATTTAACTTGTGGTGTAGCCTTGTACATGGTTAGTCAGGGGTAATGTGTTAAGTGCAGCTTACTCCCAGGTAAATTTACATAGGATTGTAGACGACATCCAGCTTTTAATACTGTAATGATTATGATAACAACACTGTAACTGTCTTGAGCTTTTGAGTTTTCAGACTAACAAATTGTATGTTTACTTATATAGGGTTCTTATAGTTCCTCTGTGTAAACACCTTAGAAATAATTTCTTGGAACAAGTTTGTTGGAATCTTGAATAGTTATGGTACTGTTTTTGAGGCTTACTAAGCTGCAGTATTATGAAACAAAAGCTTGCTTTTAAACTTAAAATTCTGCTGATGCCTAAGGGAAGAAGTGTTTTTAGACAGTTGTCTTTGGCATCTGTACTTCTACTTCAGATTCCATTTCCCCCCTTAGAATTTGAATATAGGATTCTACTTCATGATAGTGCTTCATGATGTGTTCTTATGTAAGAGCCAAAAGGAATAAATTATTTCTCATTGTATTTTTATTCAATAGTAAGGATGCATGTAAGCAAGCAGTTGCTGGAGTGGTGCACTCTTTTTGCCAGTGTGATTTGATAGGTAGAAATGGAGCTTTGAAGGGCAGTGGGGGAAACTGTAGTAGTTTGCTTTATATGGAAGAATTAAGGAATATTGTAAGGGACTTTGGATGCCAAGATGTTGATAGAAGTAGAATGCATGAGCAGATATTATGGTTTTATCAAAAAGAATTATTGAAGTGAGACTTTTTTGTTATTGTGTACAATTTTGTGTTCAATTTTTCTGTACTCTCCATGAAGGGGTTGTGTTAAGCCTGAAGAAGTGGAATTTTCTCTATGAAAACTTGCAATTTGTTTGATTTTTAGTGGTCCAATGAAAAACATCACATTTTCTTACATTTGTCAAAAAAAGAAAAAGAAAAAACACTATGACATCTTAAAGAATAACTGCTATACTGTATTTTGATGTGAGCTTTTGTGAACAAGTAATTTTTTTTGGTTAGAATTAATTGTAGGTATTGCGTGTAAACTCCCCTTTTCTACAGGGAAAGTTCTTTACAGTCTTTATTTCAGTGAAGTTTCTATGGGAGAAAGACCTTAAGCGCTAAAGTGTGGTTGTTAAGACTTAGTCCTGTGTTCATCTGTTTGGAAGTAAGCACACTGATTCAGTGACACTTCTGAATAAACATGTGTAGGACTAGGTTATAAGTAGTTTTCCCAAGGTTTACTTTGGAATTCCTCAACCTCATGTGTTCTGTAGTTTTGATTACCCATGCTTTAGGAACTTCTAAATGCTAAGTTTATTTTGAATTGAAATACATAAGACTTCAATCGTTTTCACACTTGCTTGGGAGTAAGCTTAATTGAACTAAATGGGACTTATTTATGACCAAACACATACAGGATTGAAGTGTTAGGAAGCTGTTTTAATCTAAGAATCTTGATATGTTTTGTTGTTACATTTTAACATGAAGCTTTAACGTTTTCTCTTGCCCTGTACTGATTCTGTAGTCAGCATGTAATATACATTTATTTCAAATTTATGATCTCAGAGTATGATGGGATAGAGTGTGAAAAATATATTGGAATAACTGGATTCAATTAGCTGTTTTCAGGACAAAAACTTTTAGATGGAAACACTGTTTTGGCTGACTGGATAGATGACAGGACAGTGTTTGATGTACGTCCAGGAACTGATCTAGAGCTAATGCCCAACTTCTTGCTCTGTCCTGAGAAGCCAAATAAAATATTTAGCCTAGGCCTGATTTAGAAATAAAAGATTGATTCTTTGTGAGGTTTTAAGAATGTTTAAGAAATGTTTCGCATGCCTTTGCACTAAGTGTTTAACAGTTTATTTAAATCTCTGTTCTGTAACTGCTGTATAGACATACTTCTCATTTTCTGGATAGCTGGCATTTCCATAGTTATTCGGAGGTCAGAATCCTGTTAGATCCATGTACACAGTGGTCTGTAGTGCAACCAGATTAACACCAGCTGAATTTGGACAAGGAGATATATAGTACTTCTTTATGCATGCATAAGCCCCATTTATTCTGATGGATCAGTCTCCACTTGTGCAATGGCAGATTGTGGAGCACAATACTTTGCCTGACAGACAACAGGATTCTGCCCTATATCTTTCACTCTGACTTTCTTACTTGTCAAAATATCACTGAACAATCTATAACAGATTAGTGTGTGTACAGATATTGACAATATGTAATACAAAGGACTGGTTCCTGTCTGCAGTAGAATTCAAGCAAGTATTACCCTGCACTTTACTACTGTCAACTCAGCATTGCCCATAACAGCAGTGTCATTTTACATGGGTTATGGAGAAGGTGTCTCTAATTATTTCTCTTGTCGAACTGGCTTCTGAAAAGAGACTAATGGTATGAGAAGGCACTTCTTCAAACTGATTCTTAAGTCTGTTCATATGACATTCAGTAATGATAAATGTACAGTTGCTATCTTGTGCACATTTAATGAACAAATCCTGTTAAACTCATGTAGATTTACTTTTGAGCAAACCTGCTTTAGATTGCAATGTGTATATCACTTGTGAAAAGATCTTAAATTGACACACAGGCTAGTAAGCATGGGACGTAACACTATAGGTATGATAATCTGAATGAAATATTGTGCTGGTAAGTTAAGTAGGTAGTAGCAAATAAGATGTTTTAAATCAATGGACAAAATCCTATTGCATCACTTTGCATGGTGTAAACTGTGTGTTGGAGTAATTAGTTTAAATTAAAGTAAAGCATCTATTCTCCCCCTCCCCCCCCCCAAACTTAGCTTCCAAGGCTCCCTAAGGCTCGCTTTTGCCCTGGGGAAGGCTTTAAGGTTTTGGGAGCATTGGAATGGATGGGAGGGCTGTCAAAAATCACTGGATTGCCTCTGGCTGTCATGATCCTATTGATGGCCTCTCTGTCTGTGAGTGTGTGTATGTGTGTGTGTATGCTGGTGAGAAAACCTGAAACTTCTGTGGAGGTTGATTTGGATAATCTTTGTTGCTCGTTTTGGTGAAGCAGATCTGTCTATACCAAAAATAAAGGCACACTAAAGAATTAAATTGATTGTTATAATAACTGCTCTTCTCAGATTGCAGTTGCAGCAAATAATAATCCTTTGGTTATGTAGTGGCTGACTTTTTTTTGAGGAGATGGACTTGGTTTACAATTTTCTGAAAATTTCTCTTTTCTAAACAGG